CCAGTGCCAATACACTTTGAGATGCTCCAGAGCTGTTCGACCATCTTGTCCCAAATAGTATGCTATATTCCACAGGTAGCCTTTTTTATTTACTATCGACCTGAACACCTATGTCCTAGGGCTATAACTCACAATAGACTGAGTTTCATTGGCTTATGTGTCTAGACGCCCAGCAGAGCGATAGTGAAATGACCTAATTTTATCGTCTCAGAGATAAAACAACTTCGGTTTTTATTTATAAAGCATGGGTATATACTTAATTGTCTTTTAGGAAGCATTTTATTCGTGCTCTTCTTTCGAAACTCAAGTGCCCGTGTGCTGCTCTCACTGGTTTTTTAAACTATTTTATTGCTTGCATCAGTCATAGTTCTACTGAGGTTTCTTAGTAGTGTGAACTTCCGCATAAGTTTGCATATCGCCAGGTACCTGAACGCAGAACAACTTCCTCAGTTAGGGCAGCTTCTTGCATCCGAGTCGTGGTTGAACCACGTCTTATCGAACCTGGGGACCAAAGTACTCTCGAGAGCATTTAGAAATGATCCACAGGAGAAAGGATCTCCCCACACTGCGCTAAGTACCAGAAGAGGTACCCACTCCCTGTTTTAACATGGAAAATAACCCTAAACTCCACCCTAACCCTGGTCTTAACCATAACCGTAATCCTGACCTTAAACAACTAACCCAAGACTTACCCATAAGCCGAATCACCCCGCAATTCAGCACAAAACCACCTGTATTACGGGGAGGCTTCCATATTGCCAATAGCATCGAAGAGACGAGTCCCAGGAAGTAGTTTTGAAGAAGGAGATACGATCGCTGGGACAAGAGCTTTATTAGCCTGACGTTTCGGATTCATGCTCGAATCCTTCATCAGAGACAACGGCAGATACGGGTGATTCACGCACAAGGGGGCTGCAGTATTTATAGGATGTAGTCGCCACGCCACCGCATACCTATGAACATTCACGGCTACCCCTTTCATCCGGGATCGTTGCACTTGGTGTGCTAATTGTTTGATGGCCGACATTCGCGTCGTTAATTGCTGCAATTTCATCACAAGTGTTGGATGTTGGTGTGATGATTGCTCGACCATCTGACGCATTGACCCTGGCGTTAAGAAAAGTGTTCTCCGGTGCGCTCGCCGCATGGCTAATTACTCTGTCTAGCCGAAGTCTCAGCATCGAGTATGGAAGGGGAAGTTGATTGAAGTCGTTAATGGACGGAGGACCAGTAAACCATGACTCAAGCAGCTCCCGGCTCACGCGGTTGTCACCTCTTGCGAGAATTTCGGCCTCGTCGAATTCGAGTGTGGCCGGATCTCGTCGAATGAGTCGCAACTTGAAAGCTGGCGTCATTTCTCCGCACCTAATGTCGTGTTGTATCCTGTCAGACTTCAAAACGAGCTTTACTGCCTCAGTGACGTCAGGAGAAAACTTGTGTTCCTTATGTAGCGTATAGCGCCTAGCTTCCAGCAGGACTTGAAAAGGCAGTAGGCTTGAACTTCCTAGTTTACCGCTCTCGTTGCATCCCTAGACGAAAAAGGGAACTGGGAGAAGTTAGGTGCCTGCGCAGTTATCCAGGCAACGAATGTGCAGGACTGCAGGTTCAAAGAGAAAAAACACGCAGAGTGGCAAGTCTGGAATAAATGTGACGAGAGAGAGAGAGAAATGACTAAAGAAACTGTGTTTACCGTTTCGGCAAGAGGAAACGGGGTGTGCATGGAATCATCGAGGGTTGGCGAGGCAATGCGAGATTGGTTTCATAATTTAATTGTTCGTAAACTTCGATTTTGACCCTAAGAAACAATGAGATTTCCACCCTGATAATGTTTTACCTAATCTGATGTATTATGTCATGACTACTTACAGCAGAATAATTTGGAAGGAGATTTAGCACGGTAGGCGAGACGTTTTGCTATCTTTATGAATTGAGTAGGTGTTTTACCATAAAAAGACTTCAAAACCCTAGCAAACCTCTGTTTTGAATAGAAACTGTGTTTTAACCTGCCCTTATGTTCTGAAATTCATATCTCGTCTTTTTTCCTGAATAAAATTCAAAAATTCCTGTTTGCCTCCTTCCTACTCTCTTCCTTCAAATATAAGTTCTGGACAGGGTGCCAGAAGTGGCACTCTTTCTGCTGCAAAACACCAGTGAGTGACCTATCTCATGAAAAGTAAGATGAAATTCTGAAATGCGTTTTCGATTAGGAAAGATTAGTTAGGTGGAATTTTAATATTGATTATTATACGGCATAGTTCTGTAACATTTCGGGCTCGCCAGAATGTCGGCTTTTAAATGCACTTTCTTTCGACCCCCCATAGAAACCGCACTCGGTAAAAAATTGTCACTTAAATTAACATCCATTTTTCACGTTAATTTTTGACGGCTTTATAAATTCAAATAAACTTTATAGAAAACATGCACGAAATATGTTTTCTTTCATTCTTTTGGTGGAGAATCATGTCGTCTTCACATTCTATGCCCGACGAAAGTGTGTAGTTAGGTTTTGAAAAAGTTTTCCACTTCCTGCATAATTGTGAGCCTGATCAACCGTTGGATTAGCGCTTAGCGATCTCAGTCTACAAGGGGTGTGCTTTCCGCGCATGAAGAATCATATATTCCTCAATGCCTTGAAGAAGATACTACAGACGGTTCATAAAATTTCGTAATAGACGTGCAGTATGTTGTAAATTTCATGACAAACATTGGCAATTGGACGGGCATGACGTTGCATGAATGGACATATAGACGTACCACCACATCCCCCAGTGTTGGCATTTGTAATGGGCAAATATTCTCGATAACACCTGCGGAACTCGGATGTTGAAGCAAAGCAACTACTGCGTGGTCCGGTTTCAGTCAGTCAGTCAGTCAGTGTATTTGAGGGAAATAGGCTTACGCCTTTGAACTCCCTATTTGTACATAAAAAAATCGATAAGCATGCAAAAATGTGAAGAAATTACAGCATTAAGTGAATGCATACATTGATCCACATATGTCACTGGCCAAATGGCTAAAAAGTCACATAGTCCGCTTGTTGCTGGGACACTGCGTGCCTTCCAGTCGCTTGAGAAGCTCCGTCTGTGTAGTTTGCTGTGATTACACCTCAGTCCCTTAACTACATTTCCATCTGAATTTGTTCAGCCGAGTCACTGACATGTATTCACCAAACTCTGCACGCGATACACCTGCCCACTGAGTGTATTCACGTAGAAGGCTGGGGGCACGCTTTAGCAGTACGCTCTGCAGCATCATATGTTTATAAGAGAATACAAGCATCAGTAGGTGCTCCAAAATCCTTCTACGAGATAGGAACGCCCACGTACAGAAATGACAAGCGTATGCGTATACGCCTAGCGAACTGCATCCATGCAACTGCAATGAGCCAGAAGTAAACAATTCCTAACTGACGCTGTCCCTCACGTCTGATTTCCACCCCACCTTCACGATAGCTTCTCATCACTGCAGGCAACGGGCTCTGACAATTCGTCAGCTATGTTGAGGCAGTAGGTGATAGGCTGTGACTAATACAGTCTGCCAAAACAGCGCCATTGTGGTTGTGGAGGTGTGAGATCCACGCTGACCAACAGGCGCCACATGCAGTTAAAACGGAGGGCTTTAAAGCATCTGCGGTGCTGGCCTGGAAACTGGAGCAGGCGAGGGGCACTAGGAGAGCGCGGGGCACGAGTCTGGTGGAGAAGAATGTGGTCGATTTGTACAGGCACGCACAGATCTGAAAGTTTTCAAACGGTGAATGGATGCAATAGAGGTCCAGCCTAGACGCTCTGTACGGAATGCTGGAACACCCTGATTAGCAAAGCAACACTGATACTTGAGGCAGACCATCCTATATTCCCAGACTCTCATTGTTATGAATCACCCACCGAGAAATTATCCTCTTTTATCCGTTGAAACGTTTGCCGATTTACATCGAATCACCTAATTTGGGAGCAAAGTACACAGAGTAAGGGAGAGTGTGTTCTTAGAATTTTGAAGAAATTTCGTGATGGGAAGCAGACTCGATTACTGGAACGCGCAGCTTGTTCAATTCACATCTGCTACTTGCGATTCACTCGGTCGATAGGTCGGTAGTAGGGGGCTGGAGCTGTGGGTGTCGATGCATTTGCAGACAGAAGGGCATGATCGCGCATTAACATTCACGGCTTTTGCTGACAGGGCTGATGAGGACGCGGCAAGTGCTGATCTAGTCGTAGTCGGTCAAATAAACAGCGCGTCGATTGCAGACACTCGTGATTGGCATTCAGTAACAGATGGGGTCGAGTGTGATTCACCACTCAACAAATGTGTGGTCTCATCCTATGGACCTGCATCCACTATGCCTCTCTGTATGATTCTGTTTCTGGCAGT